ATCAGATCTCATAAGGTTCAAGACTCTGTTTCCTGGTCCTGTTTTAGGGACTCTAAACTAGGCATTGTTTTCTTTATTCTGGGCCCTCCTCTAACCTGCCTCTTGCCTTGAAAGCTGGTTCCTGTAGACTCTGTAATTAGAGCACCTCTCTGCTTACAATTGGTTTTGGCCAGCAGGAAACACTGGCCAGGGACCACAGGACTAGAGAAGATTGGAAGTCATACCTTCTGGAGTGTCCCTGCTCTCTCCAGTGTCCTAATTCTAGCCACAGAGGTGTTCTGTGGCTACAGTTCCAGGCAGGTGGCCTCTCTGGCTGGACTCCTGCCCTCAGTAGTTTTCCTCAGTAAGTACCCTCCCTCTCTCCCCTCTGGTTTAGCTAAAAGGACTCTCAGCTGCTGTTAGCCTCCAGGTTAGCCCTCCTCACTTGCACAAACCTCTATAACAGTCCCTGAGTCTGTACAGGAAGTGTAATGGCTAACATTGTCAAGTGGGCAGGCCTTACAGTTATCTAGGAGGTAAACACCAGAGTATATTTAGGGGCATTTTGACAGATGTTTAGCCGAGGATGGAAGACATATCCTGAATGTGGGGAGCACCATCCCACAGGATGGGGTCCTTGAATGAATGAATGAATGAATGAATGAATGAATGAATGAATGAATGAATACATGAATGAAAAAGGTGGTAAGGTGAGATGAGCATCAATGTTCATTTCTCTTTACTTCCCGACTGAAGATGAACTATGACCTCTGCTTAACCCTTCTGCTGCTGCATCTTCCTGCCATGACTGTCTCCTCTAAAACTGTGAGCTAAAATCACCCCCTTCCTTCCATAATGTTGTCAGTTACTTTGTCATAGCAATGAGAAAAGAAACTAATACAGTACGCCTTTTGGCTGTGCCTTCTCTTTTCTGCCATGCCCAGTAGACCCTTTATTTCTTTTGAGGCTTTTAGAAGGAGAATTCTAATTTCCCCCAGCTATGGGGAGTACAGTAGTTTAGATACAGTTTGAGTATATACATATACCCCAATGTTTCATGTGTTGTAACCTAATACCCACTGTGAAGTAGTAAAAGGGTAGAAACTTAGCCTGGTATGGTAGATGGCACATGCCCATCTCAAACCTCTCAGAAGGACGAAATAGAAGAATAAGAGTTCGAGGCCCCGCTGGACTGGATAGTGAGACGGAGACAAAGTGAGTGGCAACAGTCTGACTGTGGTGGTAAACGTGAGGCCTTTGGGAGCCTTCGGGATTAGAGAAGGTCATCTCCGTGGAGCCATGACTGAACTCTGAGGGTAAAGGGAGAAGAGCTGTGTGTGATGATGGATGGCTCTAACACTAGCACCCAGGGAGGGGAGGAGCAGAAGCAGGAGGGTCTCCAGACAGCCTAGGCTGCAGAGATCCTATCTAGAAAAATCAAGGGCTGGGTATGCAGCTCTATAGGAGAGCACACAAACACAAGGCTCTGAAATCCCCAACACCTCAAAACCTGAGGGAAATAAGGCAAGAAACATAGCAGTGTGTTTCACGGTGTTCTGCCAGCAGGAAGGCTATCACCAGGTGTAGCCTTCAGAACCCTCCAAGTAAAATAGCTCTTTTAATTTATAATCTACCCAGCATGTGTTATTAGCATAAGAAAAGGAACTCACTAAGACCAGAAATTTATCTGGAGGACTCAGGGGCAAGTTTAAAGGGACAAAACACATGTGCTTCTCTGTTGCTGGCACTTCTCCAAGCACACACACCCCTCTGATTCTTGGCGCAGGTGAGTAAGTACAAAGTCATCTAATGCTGGTGACATGTTTCACCACACACTCCTCTGTTGCTCACCATAATTGTCTGTATTTGTGGATAAGCCACATTCCTCTGACCATTTGTCTCATTAGATCCCCAACTTCCCTCTCCTTAATTCATGCATAATACAGGAATGACTCATAGGTGGGAAAGTCAACATGTTCCCTTGTTAGTCTCACCTGTAAAATGGGACCATATCAACCTCACAGTTACAAAGAGAACCAAATGAGTAATAAGAGGTAGTGTTTGAATGGCAGAGGCAAGATGTATGCCTAACGTTGTTTGTATTCTCAGCTAAGCCAGCTCACCCTTTCTACTGTGATTTAGGAAGAAGGAGAAAAGGGAGCCTGCCTGGAATTTCTAAGGTCGCTCCTCACCCTATCCGCTCTCAGACCTCATTTCAGAGAGCTTTCCTCTTCTGTCACTTTTTCATCCTAGGAAGCACAATAAGGTCAAACTGTGATGTATTGCTATTTATTTATTTGGCAGGGGAGACCACAGTGAAGAATTAGGGGTCAGATGACCACCTATACGAGTTGGTTCTCTCTGGACGCCGTGTGGGAATCAGGCATCAAACTTAGGTAGGCACACCTGGCAGCTGAGTCAAGGGCTGTGGGTCCTATGCTCCGCTAACTCTGGACCAACAGTTCCCAGAAAGCCCCAGAGACCACAAAGAGCAGGAGCCACTCTAGACCCTCTTGGCTGCTGTTATCTGTGTTAAGTGTCTTCTCAGAACTGAACAAAGGCTTCTGAGATTAAAAAATGGAAACTCCAGACATTATAAACTCCAGTTCTAATCTTTTTTGGCTTCTATGCCAAGGAACTTTCTATGCTTCATTCAGATTCTTTGTATTCTTTTCCATTTCTGATTCTCTAAGATATGGAGACAAGCCGATCTTTGTGTATTTCTCTTCCCTGTCTTTCCCAGGCACTGAGCCCAATGGTCTCTGCACAATGTCTCTTTAATTCTCAGGCCTCTGGAGAAGCTAACTATACACCTTTAACAGTAGAGACACGTGAGGCACATTCTACTGGCATCTGACCAAGCAACTATAGTGCTTTCAATCCCTAGAATCTAAAGTTCCTAGGAGACATCTTAAGACTAGGTCCTAGTGGCTTCTGAGATGGATGGACGTGGGGCCACAAAAGCTGGTCAGGGACTGACTCCCAGGGAGGAATGCCTAGCACATGGAATGCCTTAGGGTCAAAGAGGAACAAATCTTCCAGTTGGTGACGTAATTTCCTTATGAGTTTTAAATGTGAGGCACAGAGAACATAAAAAGTTGAAGGAAACAAAAGCCCAACTGTTGGGCCTCTTCCTGGAATGTCTTACCTTAGGCTGTCATGAAGCTCCCTCCCAGATGCCATTCCAGTGTTCCCTCACAAGAACTTCCTTAAAACTGGAACATCCCATGCCCAACCCCGGGACTCTCATCTTTCAGCTACCTGGTTTCCACGGAGCTAGAAGCCCACATGTGCCAGGGGTGGTGATGAAAACACATGCCTTTAATACCAGCACTTGAGAGGCAGAGGCAGGAGTATCTCTGTGAGTTCAAGGCCAGCCTGGTCTACATAGTGAGCTCCAGGACAACTAGACAGAGCTACATAATAGACCCTGCCTCAAAAAATACAAAAACAAACTCAACCCATATGCCAACAGCATGAACCCAAGTCTCTTAGAGACTTAAAATTATGCTTCCAACACCAGAGACCCTGAAATGCTGCCTTTCTAGGCACATAGCCTGCACTGACCTTTTCCCAAGGTTTCTCTTTCTAGAAAGAGTGTGCAAGACTCAGATATACAAAGAAGGCTGTTACAATTGTACTCGAAATGGAACACAATGGAGTGGAAATAGGAGGGAAAGAAGAAAGCAGGAACCAAAGCCAACACATTCCACTGGACATCTTGGGGAAGTTCAAGAACTCTAGAAAAAAAGAAACTGGCATACAGATTATCAGAAAGATCTAGATAAAGGGGTAAGAATTTTATATAATAATTTGGTTTTTATTGATTTTTTTTTGAGACACTACGTAGCCCAAGTTGTCCTGGCATTCATATTGTTCTACCCCAGCCTACAGAGTAGCTAGGATTATAGACATGCTCCACCACGCCCAGGGGTTTGTCATCTTTTTAAGTATACAAACCTATATGTGGTCTTCACTGGTATTGCTGACTCAGTCCCTGCAAATATTAAAATCTCCCTGTCCCTGACCACCTTTGTCACTCTATTATCACCATATTATTTCCCCTTGATATTTGTCAGCGCTCAATCTACATTTACTTGTGTCTCATCTTTCCCCACTGTAATTCCGAAGCCCCTCAGTCTTTTATCGCCTCTTCCTTAATATCTGGTGCATGACTGGCACCAAGACATTACTCAGTTTCTGATGAAGAAAAACGAGTAACACATCTCAAGGGCTTGCCAAGGGGTCACAGGGAGGGCTAACTAACCCAGAGATGGAAAAGAAAAGACCAGTGTGACAATCCTGAAGATGACCTATTCGAGATATCTACAAGACACCCGAGGTACAAAAAAGGTGACCAAAGGAAATCCACTATCACTTTCATGCTTGTGAACACAAGCTTAGTCGAGAGGACACAGGAGTATGTGGCTGAGTAGGCTTAGGCCAATGTAGCTTCATCTGGGCTGTGAGGAGTCCCACCTGAAGGAATCAACCCAACAAGGGTGGAGGGATATCAATGCCAAAGAAACCTTGAGCCCACGGAGCTCAGCCCACTGTGGGAAGGGGGCGTCGTGTCAGTATGTCGGAAGCCCTCTAGCAATAGCTCCCTAGACTGTGGGGCCTCCCGAAGTGTGCGTACTTCTGGCTCCTGTGGGCCGTGACAATCACAATGTCCTACCTCGTGGCTCTTTTCTCCCACCTATTTCGAATTCCCACTGTGAAAACTGCAAGAAGGAGCCTCCTGGAACTTTCCAGGAACAAGATAAATCTGTAACGACCATTCCAACGGACTCAGCTTCCGTAGCATACGGGAGCCGAGAGTGGCCAAACGTTGCCCCGGCTCCCGCAACGACCTCGAGAGCCTAAGGCCCCCGGCAGCACTCGTTTCTCGACCCAGCTCGGAGGTCTGCACCGCCGGGGGCGGGAACCCGGGAGCGCCGACCTGCACCGGGACCCTCGCTCTGGCAGTTCGCGCGCTCGCAGAGGGCGGTCCCGGGAGTCGGCCCCGCCTCGGGGCGGAGCCTCGTAGCTCCTCCTCGCGGGCGGAGGCTGGAAGTGCGCAGCAGCCTCCGGGTACCGACTAGTCACAAACTTGAGCGAGGTGGACATTCAAGCCGCCTAGGATGAGGGGGTGCGGCCGCCACTCGGGGCCGCCGTCGCTGCTACTGTTGCTGCTCCCGCCACTGCTGCTCTTGGTGCCCGGCGCTTACGCGGCCCGGCTCTCAGTGCTCTACTCGTCCTCTGACCCGCTGACGCTGCTGGATGCGGATACCGTGCGTCCGACTGTGTTCGGCTCCAGTAGCGCCTGGGTGGTGGAGTTCTTCGCCTCCTGGTGTGGCCACTGCATCGCCTTCGCTCCGACGTGGAAGGAGCTTGCTAACGACGTGAAAGGTGAGAAGTGGCGGCCTTCCCCGGCCCACCCGCAGGTCCCGCCAGCTGTCCCGCTAGCTCGACCCCTCCCCTCGCTGCTTCCTTGGCCCTTCACAGACCCTCCCCTCCCCCATCCATAGCCTTTAAGTTCTCCCAGGCCACGTCCCCTCAGTCCTCTGCTCCTGTGTCTTCCTCTAACAAGTCTTTGTCCTTATCCTTCGAGAGCTCTTCCCTGGGCCTTTCTCCAGCCCAGCTTCGTAGCAGATCCTCTTCCTCATCCAGGGATCCCCTCTTGCAAACTTCCCTAGCTGTTGAGGTTGAACAGTGCTGAGAAGAGAGTTGACATTCATTCTGCTGCCCCCACCACCTTTCTCCACCCCCAGGGCAAGTTACATAGTTGGCATACACATTTCCTTTCTCGCCCTCTTTGAGGTGGATGTCTTTCTTCATCAGGTGGTTTTCCTGTTTGCCTATTTCCAATCCAGGCCTCTCTTGACCTTCTACCTCTAGCTCCTTAGCTCCTAGGCCACATCTTTGTTTCTCTTCTCCTTGGGTCTGGGCTCGCTTAGAACTTAACCTTTAACTCCGTGAGACCAAATTATATGTAGACCTGTGATGTGTGATTGGCCCTTGCTCCATGCTCCAGCCACTGGTCTGGATATCCCTTGATTCTAAAATGCCAATTATGGGACCCACTATTCATTTAATTACAGCCTAAGGGGTAGCAGGATAAGAAAACCACAAAACGTATAGAGATTTTTTTTTAAGGCGTGCTGTATTATAGAAATGCTAAAATATTTAAAAACTTAAGACTTACAGGCACCGTACTGCAGACTCGACAGAATTTCCTCTCTGCAGCTTAAAGATCCCTGCTATAGCACACATCTTTCTAATCTAAGTCAAGGGTGCTGGGGAGAAGGGGGAGAGGGGTTGGGGGCAGGAGTGACATGGTCATGGTGACTAGTTTCTGATTGTCACTTCTCTGTTGAGTGTGTCCCCTGGTCTGTGGTGCCAGGCAGGGCAGAGCTCTTAACCTGAAGTAATTGTTGGATGAAAACTGTAAGCATCTTAGGACCAGGTGCTTCTAGAGACAGGAAAACTAGAACCTCAGCCTCCCTTCTGTGCAGTTGATGGTTCGTTACAAGCTCAGATGGGTGTAAAGAGCCCCTTTGTCCATGTTCATTCTCAGACTTCCTCTCCCCCTCCCCTGAGTGCCTGCAAAGTGCTTACTGAAGTGGTCATATGGAAAGGTATTTTTCAAAAATAATTTTTTTCAAGACAGGGTTTCTCTGTGTAGCCCTGGCTGTCTGGGAACTCACTCTGTAGACCAGGTTGACCTTAAACTCACAGAGATCCGCCTGCCTCTACCTCTTGGGTGCCACCACTGCCTGTCCCCAGAAATAAGTTTTAGGAGCACTTAGAAGCTCTTTTTTCTTGCCTCCAATGTATACTTGCCCACATGCCTCTCTGGCCCCATCATCCCTATGACCTTCACACTGTTTTAATGATGTCAGCACATTTGGTCAGGGCAAGAAGGAGAAAGAATGTGGGCTCTGGAACTGAAACACCAAGGGGAAGTTATACCGGAACAGTGTAGGCCCAAACATCATAAAAGTCCCCAATCAGTTTCTAAGTTGAGTCTCTAAGAAGTGTCTAACAGCAACATATGGACCCGCTCTAGAAGGCTCTTGCATTTTAAGAGTGCTAAAGGGAAGATTAGCTTCCAGCTGATTCATATGCTTGGCCTCTCGCAACCCAGAGTTTTCCTATGAGTTGCATATCCAGGCACTGACACAGCCTTCTATACGAAGTTTACCATTTCCAAAAAGGGTCGCACTCGGAGTGGTAGTCCTCTGAAGAGAAAAACAAAAGCAAATCTTAACTTGTGGAAGGAGAAATGGAGACATCAAAGTCTATGGAGATAGACCTGGAGGAAATGGGAGGTAGAGGTGTCATTGGAAACTGGGGGGTCTCTTTTTGACCATTGGGTGAGTTATTCCTTTAGCAAGATTGTCTGGGTGGAGGGCAGACCTGGAGTTGGCCTGAAACAGTGAGCACTGTCTTCCACAGTTCCCTTTGGAGAGGCTAGGACTTGTCTCAGTTCTGTGTTCTGAGGTTCCCTGAGGAAGCCTGGCCACATGGTCACTAGCTAGCATAAGCATATAGTGAACTGCCCTTACCGGAGGGATAAGCATATAGTGAACTGCCCTTACCAGCTGCTACAAGTGTCTTCAGCAGGAACAGAGAGAGTGTATGGACGGTCAGGGGGCTGGGAAGATGTTTGGTAATCCTGGCCAGCTGGCTTCAGGCATTTCATCTGACTGGATGGGGCTCATTTCTTAGTGAGTTGGATGGTAGGTTCTCTGGGAAGTCACTGCCCTGGGGCAGAGCCCTTGTTTCTGAGAGTCTGTTTGCCCCTTTCTGTTCCAGAGCAGCTCCTGTTTGAGAAAATGACCGGGTCCACTTGAGACCTTCTTTACTATTCACTGGCTAATCATTCAGCAAATATTTGTTGAGTCACAGAGCATTGATTGCATAGCAGCTGGGGCAGAACTAGACAGAGCAGGAAAATGGGCAGCAGCATGAGGCTGTGTTTGAAAACGACAGAGGAGTGGTTCACCTATTCTTTATGGAAGGAATTCAAGTAAAGGGACAGTCAGAGGGATAAGCAAGCAGTCAAAGCTTTGCTCAGGCGGCTGGTACACACTTCTCTTATGCCAGCTCTTTGCTAAGGACTTTTCATCGCTATTTGAGAAACAGATGGTGAAACTCCTCCCCACACCCTCCATTTATCTTGGCTCTTGATTATGAAGGTTCAAGATAGAGTAGCTCACTGTCTTGGGTCTTTGGTAAGATTAAATACCTCATGGTATGAGTGCATGTCAGCGAATGCTCACAGTTTGGGCCAGGAAACAGCAAAAACATGTCCTAAAATCCTGGTGGAAGGTTTTTTTTTTTTCCTCCTTAAAGATTTATCTGCTTTTATTCTATGTGAGTGAATGTTTTGCCTACATGTGTATCTTTGTACCATGTGTATAACTGATGTCCAAAGAAGACACTGGGTCCTCTGGTACATGGTTTCAGATGGTTGTGAGCTGCCATATCAGTGCTGGGAACCGAACCCAGGTCCTCTGCAAGAACAGCAAGGGCTCTTAACCCCTGAGCCATTGCTCCAGCACCTGGTGGAGGTTCTTAACTTAGCAATCTCTGACTTCCCAGTATAGGGAAGACAAACATAGGCAAGACAAGTGGTGGCTGAATGAAGTAGGGTTATTCATGTAGGAAAACAGCTTATACAGAGCTGTGGAGATGAGGTTTGTAAGGCACATATCTCTGAGCTTCAGTAAGCATTGTGGGCTTTTTCTTTACTTCTGGGAGCATGGATGACATCTTGTCCTGGTGTGCCTGTGATGTCTGCCACAGAATATGGTCTAGGGAGGGAGCATACTCATGACAGCCAATGGCCAAAGCCTCACAAGATTCCAAATGATGGTATGAACAAGAAAACTTGACTCCAGTGCTATGGCTCCTCTTGACTCAGGCCTGGACTGTCCGTCTCATGTCAGGAGTAGAGGAGGCATTTTGTCTATCTCATGACCTCACTGCCTTCAACAGAGAGCAAGGAAGAGCCGTGGCAGTGATGGTGTAGCATTGAGTAGCAGCCCTTGTGTACGGTATGTATGCTTAGATGGGGCAATCAGGAGCTAAGAACAGGCCAGCGCCTAGTTACCAGGTCTTACTGCTCCTGGTGTAGGTAAGTTTGTATACCTGTCTTAATTAAAGGATCAAGCTTGCTTAACATTCAGAGGTAACATGGTCATTTTTCTTGCCAAGAGTTGTTTGCCATCCAGAGATGGAACAGGTTTTGTAGCTGCAAGGGGCAGTAGTAGGTCTAGACCATTGGTCCTGGCCCTCCAACCCACGAGGAGCTGAGTCCCAGAGAGGAGGCATGTGGATCATAGGTGCATTAGTCAGGTGTTACTATGAGTCATTCTTCTGCTTCTGGGCTCAGGACTCTTCTTGAACCAAGGAGTCTGGGAGATGACCCGACCTTGCCCTCCAGAACACACCTGTGCAAGGGCATAGATGAGTTCCCACAAGCTCTCCTCCTCACCCACCATTTCAAACTTTACACCCCTCTTGACATCTCTCTTCCTTTTCACTGTCCATTTCCCAGCTACTGTGTTCTGCCCAAGTCTAACCGTAGTAGGAGATGTTTCTCCACATGAGCGAGTTGGGAGGTGTAAGAAGCCAAACATCAGAAAGCCCTCTCACTCACAAAGCACTTGGACTGGCCACATCGCTGGGTGTGCCAGCAGGTCACTCAGGTAAAGAACATTTAGTTTAAGTATCTTACTTGGTTTTGCTTTTTTTTTTTTTTTTTTCCTGGGATGGACTTTCTCTGTGTAGCCCTGACTTCCTGGAACTCATCTGGCTGGCTTTGAACTCAGAAATCCACCTGCCTCTTGTTGGGCTTAAAGACGTGCTCCACTACTGCCCAGCTAGTTTAAGTATCTGAACTGGCTTTTATTTGTGGAATCCTGTAATGTCTCCATCTGTAACACAGAAAGAGTTTCTGATGAACTGAATTGAGGGTGTGGCTTTACAGACAAAAGGGCTCAAGACAAGTGGATCCAGAAGACAAAAAATGTATTGGTCATTTCATAGTAACTTTCTTTGTAAGCTTTAGAGCAGTGGTTCTCAACCTTCCTAACACTGCCACCCTTTAATGCAGTTCCTCATGTGGTGGTGACCCCCAAACATAACATTATTTCAGTGCTACTTCATAACTAATTTTGCTACTGTTATGAATTGTACCACAAATATCCAATTCACAAGATATCTGATATTTAACTCCCGAAGGGGTTGTGACCCACAAGTTGAGAACCATTGCTTGAGACTTCATTACAATGTTGGTTAAAACTGGTCTTTTGTGAGTTTGGCTGTTATGTCTCCCAATCTCATGGGAGGTCAGATAACTTGGTTTCAACTTAGTGGCATAGAACTTCATGAGCTGTTTCTATTTTGTTTATCTGTTGCCCCTTGTGCATTTGCTCAGTCCAAACCAGTGGCCTCCTGGACATTGCATTTAATGTACTAGAATCATGAATAGATAGCCAGCTCTCCAGTGTTTAGTATACAGTACATACTATAGATGTATGTGTCATGATAGATCTTCAGGATACTGACATTGAGACCCCTGAAAAAAATCTCTTGGTCAGAACTTAACCAGTACCTAACTGGCCGCAGTGTTCACCTCCACCACCCTTTGAGATTGAAGCAGGTCAGAAGAGGCGCTGGTTTCATTTCATAGAGCACAGGTAATGAAGGTGTAAGGAAAGCAAGGCGAGCCTGGTTGGTGGCACATGCCTTTAACTCCAGCACTTGGAGAGCAGAGGAACATGGGTCTCTATGAGTTAGAGGTCAGCCTGGCCCACATATTGAGTTCCAGGCCGGCCAAAGCTACATGATGACACCGTGCGTGCGTGCGTGCATTCCTGCGTGCGTGCGTGCATGCGTATAGGATGTCGGATGTCCAACCATCATCTTTCCTCTTGTTCCCCACCTCTGACCTTATCCTCATCCTCCCTGCATCTCTATTGGAAATCCAGTATTAAAAATTGTTCTGCTCTGAATCCTGGGACTAGCTCCAAGGCTCAAATCCTGGGTTCAGATCTTAGATTTACCATCAATTAGCTTACCATACCTTGGGCTTCATTATCTGATCTATTTATAGTTAAGGAGAGCAGGTTTGGAGATAAATGCTTTAGTACTTCCTCATTGAACTAGATAAAATTGAGCACACAATAAACTCACTACATGTGCTGATAACGTAATCCTTTAAGTAAACCGGAAGTCCAGGTCGCTGTCAGGTATAGAGCAGGTACAATTATTCCTGCCATTTTCTATAAGAGAAGGCTATAATTGGAGCAAGAACATAAGTAAAAGGTAATGCCCTAACCCTCGTACAGTGGGGGGAGGAACAAGTGAGTTGGCAAGCCCCATAGGCCTCTCAAGCCGGGAGGCTCCTGGTCTGAATCCTCGTTGGCAGATACGGGTGATAGTCACGGGGGATGGTGGCAGTGAAGCGGAATGATGCAGAACATCCCGTTCTTTCCACTTCCTCCATGATGAGTAACGATATTTCTTGAGGATACCTGGGTCTTTCCTGTAAGTCTCTCCAGAACAAAGTTCTGCCCTAGAGGCAGAACAAAAGATACTAGGCTCAGAGTATGCCAGATGGCTCTAGAAGATGGCCTGTGTATCTCACTAGCCCCAAGTCTTCCTTTGGCAGGGGCACAAAAAGGACTTAATACGCTCTCACCTGTGACTCAGTGTGAAGCTCTGGACTTGGGCATGGGTGACCATTGGTGAGGTCTTCTGTGACCTTGCTCTTTCTTTAAAGTAGTGGTTCTCATCCTGTGGGCCGTGTCCTCTTTGGAAGTCAAATAATCCTTTTACAGGGATCACCTAAGACCATCTGAAAACATAAATATTTACATTATAATTCATAACAGTAGCACAATTTCCGTTATGAAGTAGCAATGAAAATAATGTTATGGTTGGGGGTATCACAGATGAGGAACTGTATTAAGGGTCACAGCATTAGGAAGGCTGAGGAGTACTGCTCTAAGGAGTGACGCCATCATGAATGAACCCAGGCGTTATCACAGGAGACTGCTTTAACTTCACTTACTGCCTAGACTGAGGAAAAACTGAGGCTGGCACCAATGAGAGCATGTTCTAGCATTAGAGCTACCAAGAACTGAAAGCCAGTCTCTAGTCTGGACTGAATGCCTACTGTATGCTGGGTAAGGGTTGTTGGGATCAGGGGGTCTGAAAAGCCAAAAGACAGTGAGAGATGAACACTCTAGTCACTCTGTGGGTCCTGGGATGCTGGGCACACGAGGCAGCTCTTCCTGGGAGAAAGCAGTGCTCCAGCTGAGTTGGAGCTGACTTTATAATTTGGTGCTGGCCATGCTTTCTCAAGATTTATGTAACTGCAGTCATGGTGCCTTGACATGAGTCAGAGCTCAGGATAGCTGTTTAATACGAACTGATTTCCTGCTGGTTTCTGGTCTGTGCCATTATTTGCTCTGCCAGTTACTGTCTCAGAGAGAAGCCTCTAGGCCTGGGACCCGGAGAGAAAACGTGAGCAACCTTCCTGACTTCCCAGGCCTGCCTTGTGGAAGGGTTCTGGATCTCCTGCTTTCTTCCATCCCTGGGATCTGTTCTGGATCTCCTGCTTTCTCCCGTCCCTGGGATCTGTGTTTGTTTGGGTTCGGTACCAAGAGGCTCTTGGAGGGTTCACTGGGGAATACAAGCTCCCAAGGCATGTTGATTCTCTGGGAGCTGATCAACCTCCTAGGCAGCTCTTCAGGGACAAAGGGTTCTAGGGACTACATTCCTCATTCATCTTTGTTTAGCCTTTCCAACCCCTGCCACATCCCACTATGGCACTGGGGGAAATTCAAATGCCATTGCAAGGCCTCATGCTATGCTGTTTAACTCAGTGAAGACTGAGGGAAGTGTCTCAGCGGTCACTTCACATACTGAAGAGAGTATGACCATGCTCATGGGAGTCTGGGGGTTGATGGCTGTGGGGTTTGGGATAGAAGAACAGCAGAAGGTGCCAGCTTCTCTTGCTTACTGGGGTCATCTCTGTCTTTTCAGACTGGAGGCCAGCACTCAATCTTGCTGTCCTGGACTGTGCTGATGAGACGAATAGTGCTGTCTGCAGAGAGTTCAACATCGCCGGCTTCCCAACTGTGAGGGTACGGAAAGGGGGGCTAGAGCTGGGGCGGCTCTGGCCGAGCACATAATCCTCTGTGGGGCATTTCCCTGGCTCCTCCCTGGGCTGCTGAGCTCTGAGCAACCTCTGAAGTCCTAGCCCCTGGAGCACTGTCCCTCCATCTGATGAGGCAGAAAAGAGAGGGGTGTCCTCGTTCTAAGAAAGTCTGTCTTTATGGAGTAGAGTAACATGTGCTAGTGTTGGCAAGAAAAGTTCCCAGAATTGAGTGAAGTCGTTGTAACATAGGCTAGTGAGGGCTGTTACCTCTCAAGGTTCTTTTTCACTTTTTCTCACTTCTGACCCCCAACTCTTGGAGGTCTGATTGTAGTCTAAAAGCAGGATACAGGCTCTGAACCATGTGTGGGCAGGATCATCCTCTGGGGACCTGCTGATTCTTCAGAGACACTGGAATGCTTCATTCTCATGAAGCAAGAGCCTTGACCCTTGACCCACTGGTGCTTCAAAGTGACTTAAAGGGACAACCTCATCCCCACAGTCAATGTGCAGTGTGTCAGGTGACAGGGGTTCCAGTGACAGAAGTCACCAACAGCCAAGGCATGAGGGTTCTCCTACCCCAGCTCTGGCAGAAATGACATGAGCTCTCTGATGGTCCTCTGTCAGAGATCACAGGACACCAACAATTTTCTAAAACATTTACTTATTTACTTTAATTTTATGTGCATTTATTCTGCCTGCATGTAGGTCTGTGTGAGGGCGTCGGTTCCCCTGGAACTGGAGTTACAGATATTTATGAGCTTCCAGGTTGATGCTGGGAATTGAACCCAGGTCCTATAGAAGAGCAGCTTTTAACCAATGAACCGTCTCTCTAGCCCATCTATTTTAATGACTGAACAATTGCCATGGTTCTTAAGAGCCCTTACGCAGCCCAGAATAATACAGTTGTAGCAGTTAGGGTAGGGTAAGGGCCCTCCCAGGGCTCAGCCCTGCCCACCAGAATGGTATCTAGATAAGCAGTTTGTCTGCAACCACCAGAACTATCAGGAGATGCCTTTGAAGGCTGAAATGCCAAGTATTGTCCCTGGAACAAGATATCTCTGAGCTCAGGGGCCTCGAGTTTCAGTCAGATCCACAAGCTGGAACTCAGCCTGACCACTCAGCAGTTTCATCTCTAGGAGTCCTGACCTCTGACCCCCACTGGACTCAGAGGCTCCCCATTCCAGAGGCATTGCTTTCTAAATGGTCACCACTTTAGATCAGGACTCAGGCCCATGCTGTAAGATCAGGTTGGTTTGGGGAACAGTGTGGCAAAACAGTGGCTACTGCCACATCATCCAGGGAGGCTCTTGTCAGTCACCTCTTTAAATAGAAAATCTCCCTGGCAAGGACACTGCTTGTCCTCAGCCCTAAAATATGTAACAGTACTTCTGTGAGAATGCTTTATCTTTGTGCAGAGCCAGTGTGGGCAGTGTTAAGTGGGAAAGCGGTGGAGATGCCAGTATGGCAGCAAAGCCGTCCTCCATAGGCTCCTAGTTTCCTCTCTCTGAGTCCTCAACACTGTCTAACCCACAGGGAGACCATGCAGGACATCCAGGTGGGGTTCTGTAGGGCTGACACATGGAGCTTTCTGTTCAGCCAGGGAGGAGCCGAGCACCTGGGTGTGAGGAGGAAGCCCAAGCAGTTGCAAGTCCAGAGGCTTCTCAGCACCTGCCCAAGTCACGAAGTACACGCAGCCTGGATGCCTCAAGTGATAATCACCTTACCTGCCCAGCTGGCTGTGGGAGAGCCTGGGAGGGGCCTCACCTGGCTGCTCTGGCTTTCCCCTAGCTCCAGACAGGCAGCACCTGGCTAGGCCAGTTCAGTAGACAGCTGTCCATTTCCTAAGCTCTGTCTGGCCTCCCTTGGCAAGGCTTTCCATGACTTCCCCCAAGGAGCTTATTGCTTAGTTTCATCTATGGCCAAATGGTTCAAGTTGTTGGTAGGCCTCTGCTCTTAAGAGTCTAAAAGACGGGGGCTGGAGAGATGGCTCAGCGGTTAAGAGCACTGACTGCTCTTCCAGAGGTCCTGAGTTCAACTCCCAGCAACTACATGGTGGCTCACAACCATCTGTAATGTATACAATTCCCTCTTCTGGTGTGTCTAACGGCAGCTACACTATACTCATATACATAAAACAAATAGATATATCCTTAAAATTAAGAAAAAAAAGTCTAAAAGACTCTAGGCAGTACCTTTGAAATGATTTCGTCCTGTGGCTTACAATAAGAAATATATATTTTATATTGTAATCCCTAATTTTGTTTGTGTTAACTATTGCTAAAGCAAAGTTAATGATATTTTCTGTTAAGGTAAAAAAAAATGCTGACTGTCATTTACTAAATTGACTGCTAGGTTGCTTCTGGTGTGTTCTAAAACAGTACTCACAGATATTTCAGGTCTCCAAAGCCTTGCTTATGAAAGCCTGAAGTACCAGTAGACACCTTGGCCAGGCATCCTAAAAACAGAGTAGATTTGTAAAGTCAGTCAGCCAGCCAGATAGCCCCCCTGCCTGACTGCTGCCCTGTAGGGACCAGAGTCTGTCTTTGCTCACTGCCCATAGAGCCTGTGAGGTGAGGACCCGTGTTGGGTAGGAATCCTTACACGTACAGAGTTTTGTTGGTGTGATGGGGACATGTCCACACAAGTCTGGCCACCACAGTGAGTGACATGTGTCACTCTCCTTTTTCTCTGCCTCCAGTACTTTGCCACTGTGAGCACATTTTAAACTTCCACTAGCCCAGGCAGTTTAGAAAATCTCTAGCCCTAAAGGTCGGGGTCCTGCTCCATCGGGTCCCCTTTAGGCTGGAGCAGAATGAATGTCTTTGGAAGAAGACAAAGATTAAGGGAGGAGGGAGGTGAGTTGCCAGTAGGTTTTGGCTAAACAAACCCTAGGCCAGAGCAGTGCCCATTATGCAGTGAAGGCCTAGTTAGTGAGAACCACATGGAAAAGTGCAGCAGAGAGTCTTCTCTCTGAGATGGCACTGTCTATTGATAAGATTGCCGTGTATGAAGGAAGGTCTTACCTGTGGAAGTGCCCAGGCACTGGCATTGGGGGAGGGGTTGGTAATGTTAGTTCTCCCCTTCTTCTCTGATCTAATGGTCGTTTATGTATGAAGGGTACAGCCTAGGAATCCTCTGAAATAGTAGCTCTTGATGGGGCTGTCAGCTGTGTGCACAAGGCTGTGTTTCCAACTGGGGGAAAGGCTAGGGACAGCTGGCACAGGACACAGATCAGCATCTGGTTGGGAGGCAGGGAGCGGTTTGTGTGGTGAACACTGGAGGAGTTGGCCTCTCTTCCTGAGGTCTTCACCTGCTCATCAAAGAGGACTTCCTGTGGGAGGGATCTCCAAATGTGTGTAAGGATGGGTGGAGTCTGACTAGGACAGAGGAGCATGGGCAGAAGGTGAGAGCTAGGACCTCTTGTGAGCAGAACTGTGTGGTGTGTGGTGTGGCGTACAGGCTCATGTTGAGAGCGAAGTGGGCAAAGGAGTAAGAGGCCAGGAGTGGCAGCTCCTTGGAAGCCAGACAGTGGAAGGAACACTAGTAGAGTACAGAGCCTGGGCTGTCACTCTGTAAGCTCCTACTGGAGCCCTGTCGCTCAAGGCTGAGTTCTTGGGACGACAGAGGGAATCCAGGTGTCTCCTGCTCTCTGAGAAACAGACATGGGCTCCCTCTCCACTGTCACCCGCTGTCTTCCAGACACCTTCTGCACTGATCTTTCCTAGCATGGAAATGAAGTAACTAAGGCTGTTGCTTTCTGAGCTCTTTATAAAATGCTTGGAGACCTGATTATGTTTCAAAAACCTGGTCCTATACACTTGGCTCCAGTGCCACCACTCGTCACTGCTGGAACTTGTGCTTTCTGTTCAACTGTTTTGGTTACTGTTATCTTGTTTTGTGCTAACAGTTGTCCTGTTGTTGTGGAAAGACCAAAGCCTCAGAGGAGCAGCAAGTCAGGGGAGGCAGAAGCTTCTACCTATGTCTCATTTTATGTTGACGGATGAAAGGAAAGAAGCCAGCCAGAGAGATACCTCAATGATTAAGAGCCTTGTTAGCTCTTGCAGAGGACCCAGGTTCAGCTCTCAGCACCTTACGGTGGCCTCAAAACACCCTGAACCCCAGGGAATCCAATGCCCTCTTCTGACCTCTGCAAGCACCAGATACATGCATGGTATATATGTATATGTATATGTATATGTATATGTATATATATATATATGCATGTGGGTAAAGCACATATACACATAAAATAAGTTGAGAGAGAGAGAGAGAGAGAGAGAGAGAATGAGAGAGAATGAGAATATATGTTAATAAGTGAACTGCTGCCTGCTCTCAGAGAAAAGACTCAGTCCTGGATGCTCTGTTGATTTTTCTCAAGGGTAGTTGACCTCAGATGGCACATAACCTCCATGGCTGACTTAACAAGGATACATTTTCCTGAGGACAAAAATGTGCCCTGACTAGATTTCCACTTGAGCCTTCAAGATGATGAAAGGGTTATCACTGCTGAATTGGACAGAGGTCTGCTAAGCAGCTAAGTGTGCTAGACACCATCCCTACCAGGCACAGTGGGGCTTGCAGCAATGTATAAGCTGTTAGTACTACCTAAGTCAGGCAGGTGGGTGGTTGTCTTAGTCACAGTTCTATTGTGGTGAAGAGGCACCATGACCAAGGCAACTCCTATAAGATAGAGCATTTAGTTGGGGGCTTGCTTACAGTTTCAAAGAGTTAGTCCGTTATCATCATTGTGGGAAGCATGGTGGCATGTAAGTAGGCATGATACTGGAAAAGTAGTTATGATACTGGAAAAGTAGTTGTGAGGTACATCCTGATCAGAAGGTAGAGAAAGAGAGGGAGACAGGCAAGCAGACAGACAGACAGACAGACAGACACTGAGCCTGATTTGGGCTTTTGAAACTAAAAAGCCCACCCGCAGTACATACTTTCTCCAAAAAGGCCACACCTACTCCAACAAAGCCACACCTCTTAATCCTTCTCAAATAGTGCCACTCTCCGGACTAAGCATTCAAGCATATGAGCCTGTGGGGGCCCTTCTTATTCAAACCATCACAGTGGGTTACTGGATGGAAAGTTCAGGTTGAAGTTTACTGTAGTGGGAGAGCGTGGAATGGTGGAAGGTCAGTTAGGTTCAGATCTTGAAAGGAAAGCCTTGAATGTATTGAGTTTGGATCTTACTCATAGACCATGCAGAGCTGAAGAGGAATCCCATAGTTATTATACCTTAGAGAAGGAAACATAATACCAAGACAGTTGAGAACAGATTGAGAGAATAGTATTTCTTTTATTTTTAGTGTGTGTGTGTGTGTGTGTGTGTGTGCATGCATTTGGAGGTCAGAGGAACTTTTAGGAGTCAGTTCTCTCCTTCTACCATCTAGGTCCTCCGGTTTGAGTTCAGGCTTTCAACATTGACAGCAAGCTTCTTTACCTTTTGAGCCACCTCACTGGCTGAGGACTAACATTTCTGACTCATGAAGAGAAAGCAAATAAGAACTAATGTAATAGACCAGGACCTAAGTTTTCACCTGTTGGCCCTGGTTTAGACAAGGTGAGAGGGCTGTTAAAGAGGTATCCCTAAGGCAGAGTCACAGAACTTGCCAGATAACTGGATGGGGGTCATAGCAAAGGGAAATGCCAGTGTGGGCAGCAGGGAGGAGGACTGATTGCTGGGTGAGATAAGACACGGGTGCAGACGGAGGTTGAAGGAGAGCTCACTCAGCCTTGGTGTGTGAACACGAGGCCGTCACACCTCTGTGGAGTGTAGTAGATGAACCTAGAAGTCTAAGACAGGTGAGAGTACCTGAGACACAAGGCTCAGATAGTAAACGTCTTGGACAAAGTGAATGACTTGGTAGCAGAGAGCAGTAGGTTTGTTCTTGATTGATTGATTGATTCATTCATTCATTCATTTGAAACTATAAATGGAGCCTTTCCTCCTCACGGTGCCTGTAAGGGTGCTGTAAGCCGAGAATGAGCTGCTCTGATGTGTAGCAGCAGGAGAGACTAAAAGCAGCAGACAGGAAGTAAATGACAGTGGCATGGGAGAAAGGTGTCTCTCTAGTCCTGCCCTTCCTCCCTTCCGCCTTTTACAGTTTACGTGAGAAGGCATAGGATCTTTTTATAGCTGCTCTTATTCATGAGTAAAGTATAGCCTAGAAAAGGGGCTGGTAGAAAAAGCATTTAATAAGAAAGATGTTAATTGGTAGGAAAAATTCCTAAGTTCCTGAGGTATCGGGCCACATTCTCAGAGGGTGATACCATTCCAGAAGATAGCTGGGAGGCTTCTGAATACTGAGAAGGCTGACAATGGCCCGGAACTCCTTTAGCCATGCAGTCTGTGGGTGGGTCTTTTGGGTGCCAGGAAACTTAGGGTCAAGGAGATGCCTTTTGTTGGGGGGAGGGATGCCAGCACCTTTTAAGACAAGTACTTGCTCAGACTTGGGCAGTCTGATGACTGATGAAGGAGAGGTACCATGTTGTTCTCTAGATCTGAAAGTCACTTCCGTAGCTATGAGAAAGGCACACTACTGAAGGCTGGTCCATGGTGTGAGAGGTGTAACAGCAAGCTGAAGTCTGTCTTCCCTATACAGTGTGAGGACAGCAGCTGCACCACACTGAGCAAACCACCCTGCAGAGTCACAGTTAGCTTCTGAGCAGCAGTGTCTGTCCATAGAGATTCTTATAAACCCATGTCCTCATTTCATGTCACAATTCAGGATCTTTGTCATCATTTTACAAGTATTAGAATAATAATTTTACTAGGTCAAGATTTGTTCCATAACTGTCAAGAACATAGGTGCATTGTGATGTATGTGAATGAGCTGCCTTTAGTCCTGAATAAAGTATTGCATTCATAGTTTGAGAAAAGAGTGGAGTGGAGAGCAGGGGACAGGCAGTGAGGTCATCTAGCCAATCACAGGTAGGTGATGGCTGGTCACAGCTGCCTCTCTCTCAGGTGAATTTCCCCTTCCTGCCTACACACACGGAACAATCCAGTTCTAGTTGGTCAGTATTTCCTGGTGCTGAAGGAGTGTGTGTATAGGAGGAGTGATGGTGACAGAACTGACATGTAATGAGTCAGTTTTAATATGTACTGGCTTCTGTGCCTTAATTACTCTCAATTTTTGATTATTGAATCTTATAACAATTCTAGGCTGGTGTTATCACTTTATATATGATATCATTATATATTATATATTATATAATTTTATATCTCATTAAGATCAGAATACTGAGGTTTAGAGAAGCAGAAAGGTTTTCCACAGTCACAACAAAAACTTATCAAAGCCAGGTCTTGAACCCAGTTCTGCCTTCACTTAGTCAGCTGCTTGGGATAAGGCTGAGGCTATGCTGTTGGAGAGAGAAGACTAAACTAGCGAAAGTGTTCCTGAGATATGAGACCTGTCTTGAAGAAGGTTTTAGATAGCTTGTCTCCCAGGACAACCAATATTTCTCTCTCAGGATAGGAGGACATAGGCAAAGCCCTGCAGCTCTCTTGCCCCTTGGGCAGAAGTTGGGGTTGTAAGTTGTTACCCAGTGTTCTGTCCTCTCACCCCAATGACACACTAGGTCTGGGGTGTCACACACTTGGGGAAAGAGTACAACAGGATGTGGAGAGAGCCTGCTGTGTGCTACAGTCCTGTTTCTATAGGCTTAGCTTTACCGCTCAGTAGGACCTGTCCTGGAGTCTTGACCTTTGGCTGAGTGCCGTGGTGGGCTGGGAGTTCTCACTGAGAAGACACCAGTCTCAGAGCCCCTTTCAGGAAACAGAACAAGGGCAGATTGGCACACAGGCAGCCAACACTGGCCAGGGAGTCACTGTCTTCTTCAGATGGTCTGCATGAAGACCACCAGTGACTTCACTGCTCGCCAAACAGCTTCCAGGGACTATGCAGATCCCAGGCGTGGTGGAGTTAGTCTCTAGTTACGTCTCTGCGCTGCCGCCTCCAGGTTCTAAGGGTGCTTTAAGTGTCGGGGACGAATCGATTGTTAGGACACTAGAGAACATCGCAGAACAAAGCCTCCCTGATGTCAGTCACAGGAAGAAAGTGAGGCTCAAAAAGAGAAGTTGTTGCTAAGGAGCATAAATGCTGCCACTTGACCACTCACTCTTGTCTGTTTTCAGTTTTTTAAGGCCTTTTCCAAGAATGGCACCGGAACAGCATTACCAGGTGGGTGCTCTGACTCTGGCTATTGTGTTGGTTTTCCAGCTCTCCTGCCTTTATCTGGGTTCCTACAGGGTGAAGAGAGGTCTCCAAGTGAAGTCTGGATTTTCCTATGTATCTTCTCAGAGAGCCTGGCAGAGGTCTCAGGAAAGCCCATTTGAGCAGCCCTTCAAATGTGTCCTATCCAAAGTCCTAGGTTTGAGGGTAGGGCACCATGTTCCCAGAATAGCTGTTATGTCAAAATAAGGTTGATTTCAAAGAACAAACTGGCAGCCAGTTCTAAGGAATACCTCTCTGCCCTCGGTGTCCTTGACCCTGAGTGCCAGGATGAGCTGGGAGTTCTCCCTGAGGACACTGGCCTCAGAGCCCCTTTCCAGGAAAAGGAGTGAGGGCAGAGCAGCACATGGAAAGCACTGGCCGAGGAGTCACTTTCCTTTTCAGAGAATGAAAACTATGAGTGACTTTTCACTGATGTTCTCCTAACAGCTTTCAGTAGCTATGTGCAGGGGTGGGTCTCCCTGCTTCTCTTTAAGCCCAGGAGCCCTCACCTCACCCCACTTCTCAGGAAAGGGCTAGCATGTGCTTTTTCTTGGAATTGGTTTGGGAACCCTTGTTTGTGACTGAAACTGGCAAGGGCGCTGGGGCCTGTTCTGTCCTGATGCCCACTTCCTGTTTTCGTTTATAGCTGCTGGCGCTAACGTGCAGACGCTGCGTATGAGGCTCATTGATGCTCTGGAGTCCCACCGTGACACGTGGCCCCTAGCCTGTCCGCCTCTGGAGCCTGCCAAGTATTTTGGGTTGGGGCAGGCTTAGTGTGGCATGGGGCTCAAGCATGGAGAAGGTGTTGGGAACCACAGGGGAAGAGGACCCACATAGATTCTTCCTGTGGGGTGGGTGCCCCAGTGAGCCAGACATACCTTAGAGTAGCTGGAAGTGACTCTTTTCTGCTTCAGGTGTTGAGGAGCCCTGTCCCTTGGGAGCTGGCTGGGGGTCAAAGGGCCTGACGTGCTGGGTGGAAGGAAAAGTGTGTGTGGGGGGGCAGGGAGTTCTCCATATCATACTTGCTGCTGCTTCTCCTGGCTTGCCCTCAGGGGCGTTTGTGGGTACAAGAAGTTTTCTCTGGCCTAGTCCAGGGAAGGCCACTGACAAATGAGAGGACAGAGGAGATTCATTACCACCAGGAAAAAGGTCTAGGATGATCAGAAGAGTAAAGTCCTGTTTGTAAACTGATTATGGTCAACTGGTCACCTGGTGTTAATACAATTCACAGTGACTCCTTTATCATCTTTCCCAATTCCTCATCTTCCTAGAGGGCCTCACAGAGACCCTGGGCCAATCGTACACTCCTAATGTAGGTTGGGGTTCTACAACCAACTCTCTGCGGTAGTTGTTGGTTTCTTTTTCCCTGCTGTGACAAATACCTGAGAAACAATTTAGAGAAAGAAAGGTTTTGTTTTGTCTCATTATTTTAGAGGTTTCAACTCAAATTTGGCAGGACTAATCAGTTGGGATCTGAGATTATACAGAATATCATGGCAGCCAGAGCATATGACAGAGGCCACTCACTTCATGACAGCCAAAAAGGAGAGAGAGAGAAAGTACAGCCACCAGGGACATGTACCCAGTTGTATACTTATTCCAACTAGGGCCCACATGATTCGGCCATTGAATAGGAATCCATAAGTTGGATAATCTACTGATTAAGTCAGACCCCTCATGAACCAGTCATCTCTCAATGATTGGGTCCACCAGCAGGGACCAAAGCCTTCAATGCATGAGCCTTTGTGGGGACAGTTCCTATCCAAGCTATGATATCGCCCATCTAGGAATGAGCTTGTTAGCCTGTACTCTGGTGCTTTTCTCCTTCCATTTCCTCATGGCTGCCTCTCTCTCTCTCTCTCTCTCTCTCTCTCTCTCTCTCTCTCACACACACACACACACACACACACACACACACTTCCTTTATAGTGTGTTTTCAGCCCTGGGAACCTTGAAATCAACAAACTGGCCAAATCTGTGGCGCTGTCTCTAAGTGATCCTTTTGATGCCCTTAGGAAGAATATAGGCAGACACACGTGCTGAGACTTGAGCTGCCTCTTCCAGAAGGCTGAGGACTTGCTCCTCTGCCAGCCTAGGGTAGGTATGAGGATATGGCCAGAGAGAGTGGCCACCTAATGCCACCCAGAGGCTGATGTCAGGTAGCTACAGAACCTCTCTTATCCATCAAAGGTTCATCCTGATCCTCACTTGTCTGTCGTATTTATCCATACTGCCACCAGGCTGGGTTCTGTTTGGAGCATTTGCTACAAGTCTTTGGGTTAAGAGCGGGGAAGTGAGACACCAGGTTGAGGGTAAGAGGAAGATACAGCCTCTCCTGACCCGTGGGCCTTCTCAGTGGGCCCCTAAACAGGCTGGAAGAGACACAGTTTTCACTGAGTATTTAAAACAATCTGTAGGTTAGTTCTCTGCTTGAGAGATAGAATTTGCCTTCTTAATCATTTCTACCCAAGAAAACTGGGCCTCACTCTCCTCACCTTGAGGAGATTGGATTCTCCTGCACCCAGGACTCTGTTCATTTCTTCTCTTTTTGTTCCTTTTCTGAGAGGAACATGCAGCTCTCCCCGCTGGTCAGGGCTTGGGCTTGATGGGTTCTAGTCACCAGTCTCTTAGGAAACCAGTAAAACCATCTTCAGTAAGCCTGGGCCTTACCCAGAACATGGAGACAGCTGGTCTGAAAGCATTTGTACCATTTCTCTTCCCAGCCTGCCTCCTGCTTACTCCTGACTCCTTAAAGGGACAGAAAGAAAAATATAAAACAATAAAACCCAAGGTGGGTCAGGTAAAGCAGAGTGAGGTAGCATGAGCAGCATCCTGAGACTTAAGGGTGAGCTTCCTTCCACTGGTGGGCAGGCAGGGGGAGGCTGCAGGATTATGGGAGACGTGCTACATGGAAAGTGGTGCATCACTGGGAGTCTTCCCTCATTTCCACAGGCCATGGAAAGAAAGTGACCCCATTTATCTCTTGCAGGCTGAAGGATATCAATGAATTCTTCACAAGAAATAAGGCAGAGTACTTGGCCTTGGTCTTTGAAAGGGAAGACTCCTACCTGGGTAGAGAGGTGAGCTGCCCCAGCTTTCCTGACTCAGAAGAGACCATGGGGAGAAAGGCCTGTTCAGATCAAAGCAGGCAACTGATCCCTGTGCCTTGATCAGACAGGCACTGCCTGACCCCTGGTGGGACACATGGGAAGTGTAGGGGCTCCTTTCCACTTTAAATGTTGGTATCTGTTCTTACCTCTCTCTCTGAAACTACAAAGTAATACCTGCTATTTACTGAGTCTAGGACTAGACACCAACACATTGCTGCTAATCCCTAAACTTAAGAGACTGGTGTAAAATGTCTAGGATCATACAGCTGTTAATGTAGAACGGTGCTGTCTAACTCAAACCCTGTGTTGTTTCTTCAGTGCCCTAACTGCATAGAATTGGGGTTTAAAAAAAAAAAAAATGAAGGAAGTAGACACGTGAGAAATGCCCTGATCCCTGTGTGAGAGCTGGATTCCCTGAGCAGCAGTGCAGGCTGCACTTCTCCATCAGTTTAAGAGTGTCTTTGATCACGTTGCCCAACTCTCCGAGCCTTATTTCTAGCTATTGAATAGAAGTAGTTGTACTTGTTTATATTAGAATGTTCACTAAGGCAGTTCCTATAAAGAGCTAGGTCAGTGGCCAGCATGCAGTAGGTGCTTTATAAAGAGTCACCTCTTTGTTTGCTGTAGCTAGCACCCACTATGCTGCTGACTCATGTCTTGGTATGCCCATGCTTGTCACATGTTCCAAGGTCAAACACAGCCGATTGACAGATGCTGATTGGAATCAGTTCTTCCCTCCGCTTACACAACACAGTTCCGTCTACACCTCTCTTTTTCCGCTTCAGAGTAGGATTCTGTTTGCTATCACTGTCTGTTCTCTTTACAGATAACATTGAGTTTGATTTGGTTTTATTGAGATAAAGTTCCACATAATTCAGGCAGGTCTCTAACTCACCAGGTAGCTGAAACTGGCTGTCTTAGTCACTGTTCTATAGCTCTGAAGAGACACCATGACCACAACAACAACAACAACAAAAAAAGCATTTCATTAGGTCTGGCTTACAGTCTCAGAGGTCCACTGTCATCATGGTAGAGGGCATGGCCATGTGTCGGCAGTCATGATGCTGGAGAAGGAGCTAAGAATTCTATATTGAGATCCACAGGCAGCAGGAAGAGAGAACCATTGAACCTGGCTTGGACTTTTGAAACCTTAAATCACATCCCCAGTGACACATGTCCTACAAAAAGACTCCTCCTCCTAGTCCTTTCAAATAGTACCACTCCTTAAGTATTTAAATATTTGAACCTATGAGGGTCATTCTCATTCAAACCACCACATTCCACCCCACTCCCTGGCCCCCATAGGCTTGTAGCCATATCCTAAGGCAAAATGCATTTAGTCTGACTTCAAACGTCCCCATAGTCTTTCAGAGTCTCAACACTGCTTACAGTCCAAAGTTCAAAGTCTCTTCTGAGACTTCTCAATCTCTTAACTGTAAGCCCCTGTAAAACCAAAACCAAAAAGCAAGTCATCTACTGCTAACACACAGTGGCACAGGGTAAACATTACCATTCCAGAAGAGAGGAAAGGAAGCATTGTGAGGAAATTCTGGACCAAAGTAAGACAAACCAGCTGGGCAAACTCCAAACTCTGTATCTCCATGTCTGATGTCAAAGTGCTCTTCAACAGGCATCCCACAACTCTGGCATTTCCAACATCTTTGGGTCTCCAATGGAATCCAGACTTCACTCCCACAGATTTACACAGTGGCTTTTCTGAACCTCCATACAGGAACACACCTGACACACGCCTGGCCTCACCAGCTTTCCTTAGCTGTAGAGGGGGATTCTACAACCCATTTCTTGCATCCTTGACTCCAAAGCCAGAACCAGAACCTGCAGTCCTGATGCATGTTGGGGCTGGAACTTGGCCCCTTGTCCAATTACATCTGATCTGCTTTCTGTTTTCAGTGGTTTCCTGCTCTGCTTCCCTCTCACTAGTTGGAAGCTCAGCAGAGGGGGTCTTGCTCTGAAGTACCCACTCCCTTTATTCCATTTAGTGTTTCTTTAGACTTTTGTCTCTTTGAGCACCGGACTTAGCTCTATTCTACTCCCTGGTGCTTCTTTTCTCCTCAAAGTGTACCTTTTGTATTTTGTAAATTTTTTGACTCAGCTTCCTCCTTTTTCATTATAGATCTGTGTAAGAGTGACTTGTTAATGACCACATGACACAATCAATATGAAGCTGTCTTGACATCTCCTCTGCCGGTGTCATTAATCCAAAACTAGGATCAGAATTCCTAGCCAGATTAAACAAGGGCAGAACACACCAAAATATCATGAGAATGGTCTCTAGGACACTGACTTCTTCTCTGGAACCTCTTGAGCTAGGACAGCATTCTGTATGGTCTCAGCACCACAGCCCTGCCTGCTCCCACTAGGATGGCCCACTAAGCCGTTTAAAGTCCACTGCTTTCCTAATTGAAAGTCCAAAAGTCTACATTCACCCAACAAGCAGCATGGTTGGGTCCGCCACAGCAGTCCGGTGCTCCCTGGTACCAACTGGTGACCACCACATACCCTGAACTCCTGACTCTCTTGCCCAAGTGCTTCGATATCCAGTGTGTACCACATACCCCAAGCAAGCAAATTTTTTCCATGTAAATGTGTTGTGTATGTGTGCATGTGTGTGTGTATGCAAGTGTGTGTGTATGTGTATATATACATACACACACGCATATATATAAAAATATATAAATATATAAATATATAAATATATAAATATATATATATATATTATACATATAAGAATAAAGGAGAGGTAGATCAGAAGTTAAAAGCACTAGCTGTACTTCCAGAGGTCCTGAATTCAATTCCAGCAACCACATGGCAGCTTACTTCCATCTATATAATAGGATCTGATACCCTCTTCTGGCATGCAGGCATACATGTAGAATGAATATTCATCCATTAAAAAAATACATAAATACATACAAAACAAAAAGAATAAAAACCACATTTTACCATGCTTTACCATATTCAGTTGGTACTCCTATAGGATACACCAAGTGTGTGATCTGACCAGTTCCAAGGCCCCTTGTCTTGGGTGGTATTTGGTAGTTGTAACCTGAGGGTTGTGTGGCCTTTATCACAGTGGTCTGCTCTGCAGTTTTAAGTCTACATAGAACACAGCTGCTATCTGGTGCCTACCCAGCAGCAGGCCAGTACTCAGGCTCCCACTGCCCACTGGGGAAGCCCCTCCTCACCCTACTGTCTCTACAGGTAACTCTGGACCTGTCCCAGTACCACGCTGTGGCAGTGCGCAGGGTCTTGAATACGGAGAGCGACGTGGTGAGCAAGTTTGGAGTCACTGACTTTCCATCTTGCTACCTGCTGCTGCGGAATGGCTCTGTCTCCCGAGTGCCTGTGTGAGTGTGATGTCCCCATCTTCTCCTCCCTGCCTAGTCACTCTTCTACCAGAGAAGTCACTAGAAAGAGCAGCCAAGTAGGAGAAACAGATGTGTGATCCTCTGTGTGAGACAAGACCTCTGACCCTGCAGCTCAGGATTCCTGCCTCGGCCCTGAGCTTCTAACCCATCTACACCATGCCCTGGCCATGTTATCCCACACCTCTGTGCACAGAGGAGTGCATTGACGAGTGCTGGCCTGGCGAGGACTCAGATGTGCTGGACCTTCCTCCTACCCCCACCCCCAAATTAAAGCAAAGCTTTTCTAATTGCAGAAAAGTTCATTAGGAGCCAGACAATAGTCTGTTCCAAAATGTCAGGAGAAAACAATCAAGCAGCCTCAGCTGCTCTGTCAGCCTCCTGCTGCTGAACGGCCTGTTAAATGGCACCAGATGGTGCCTTGGTGCCCTCCTCAGGCAGATGATTGATGGCCGCCTGGCCTTGCCGGCAGAAATTTGGGGGACCAAGGAAATCAAGGCTACCCTCAGTACCCAGAAATCTGCTTCTTGGGGCCTTTAGTACCAGCCTACACTGAGGCTGGGCTAGGCAGCCCCTTGCCCTTTGCCTGTCCTAGACCACCAGGCGCCCCTGAGGCAGGCCTGCTGGAGTCAAGAAGCATGATGTTCACAAGGGGCCTGGGAGGCTAGATCCCGGGCATGCCCAGAAAGTGCCAGTCCTAGAGGCCAGAGGAGCCGTTGTCTCCTCACTTGGAGTTGGTGGAGGAGAAAATTGTTTGTGACGACGCTGCTCCTGAACCATCTGCTCATTGATAGACATTGAGCCTGGATGGCAGAGCAGGAAAACCATGCTTCCTGATGCTGGCTCCCATGGGACATCCTGTCACTGATGCTTATCTTGGCCAGACCTTTTGGAGGAGATATTTCCTATCTTTAAGACTCCTGTATTAGGAAAGAGAAATCAGAAGTATTTGGACAAGCCTGGTTCTCTGTTGTTATGTCTAAAATCACACATCAGCTTTTTGACTTCCATGGGAGGTGATGTCAACTTGTGATGTCTTGGAGCAAGTTTGTGGGAGGGTGGCTGCCTTGAGACCAGTCACACCCAGCCTTCCTGTCACGGGCAGAAGCTAGTGGGTTTTGTTTTGTTGTTTTTCTTTGTGGTGCTGGGGACCAAACCCAGGACTTGCACAGCTAGGTAGGAGCTCTCCTGTTGAATGCATCCTCACTTCTCTGTAGCAAAATGGATGGTGTTCTCAGTGGGCTTACCTGCCTCAGTCTCTGTAGACCATGGCCTTGCCTAGAGCCAGAAGGCACACTGAGTAATTCTCAGGCCCAGTTGTTTTTCCAGATAGGGGTTCCATATCTGTCTGGTGGAAGAGAGGGTTTTTATACCATGGACAGAGAATGGACAAGTTGAAGTGAGGCCCAGGGAGCCAAAGACAAGATGGGACCAGGTTGAAATGTTTCCTACTAAGCCTTTCTGTGGGAGGAGCCACCTATTTCCTCTTCTGACATTGGTCAGCTATGTGATTTTTCTTTTGTCTTTTGCACTTCCATTTGCTCTCTTTCCAGGCTGGTGGAGTCCAGGTCTTTCTATACATCCTACCTGCGGGGGCTGCCTGGACTGTCCAGGGATGCTTCCCCGACCACAGCTACACCAGTCACTGCTAATACGATCCCACCCACAGCATGGAAGTTTGCAGACCGGTAAGGTCTTCATACATCCCCTCCATGAACACTGCCTTGCTCATCCCTGTCCCCGCCATGGGATAGCCCACCTCTGTCCCTTCAAGGCTGGCCCTGGGGCTTGTCTGTTTGTTCCATTTGTTATCTTTGTGCTGCTGGGAACCCAACCCAGGACTTGAACACACTAGGCAGAAGCTCTCCATAGTCTATCCTGGTGATTAGTACACTGGTACATACTAGTCCTTTGGGGATTGCTGTCTGCTGACCATGCTCAAAAATCTTGATGTGGGCTCTCCTGTCTTTGTGACAGGCCCCCAGTGCCAAATGTGTGTTTACCAAACAGCATTCCACATTTATCCTTTATAATAGAAGGAATGCTGGCTAGTGTCCATGGTACATAAGCTTGACTTTACTCAAAAGGCAAGTAGAAGCTAGGCATGGTGCTGCACAGTTGTGTGCCAGTACTTGGGAGGCCACAGCAGTAAGATTGTGAATTCCAGGCCAGGCTCAGGCTCGTAGTGAGAGAGCAAGAGAGAACGAGAGGAAGGGGAAGGGGAGGGAAAATGACAAGTAGAGTCTGCGTGGAGGCTCACTGGGAGGAGGAATCCATGTGGAAGATCACTGGGAGGAGGAATCCATGTGGAGGCTCACTGGGAGGAATCCATGTGGAGGCT